TTACTGTCGCTGTCTGAAAAACACTGTCAACATAATGAGCACTTTCTTTAGGTGTCCCTGACTCCACCCACAGCAGGACATTGTTTAGTTTCAGTGTCAGACTCCAAACTGTGGATCAGGACCTCACACAACTTCACCTCACCTCTGAACTGTCCCTTTTAGGGGGCGATCACACCAAGATGAAACGCTAGAATCGCAACGGCAGTAAAACTAATGTTTTCCTATGATACGGCGCATCTGACCGGCGTTCAAGGGTCTTTTTAGACAGACGTTTTTCCGGCGGCTTTTTAGATGCGCATTTTTGTAGACGCTTCTTTTTAGACGCGTGTAGACGCTGAAAAGTTAAAATATTTTCAACTTTTTGAACTTCAGACGGCAGTAGCTAGCGCGCATTGAATAAGCGCTTCCAGCGTTTCAAGCTTCTTTGAAGCGTCTGCGTCTCTAGCGTCTCATTTCTGTGTGATCGCCCCCTAAGGCGTCCTCTGCTGCAGCTGAGGATCATGGGAATTTTTGTCACTCTGTCATATCACAGACTCTTTAAATCATGTTGTCACTTCAAGAACATTAAAGATGAAGCAGTGAGTCCATGTCTGACACAACGGTCCACACACACATGTCCACTGTGGACAACATGAGACAGAGGACACAGAGACAACAGGACAGAGACGGACGATCTTCATGAACCAACAGTCACAGGTGAGAGGAGTGATGTCATGAATGATGTCATGGATTTAAAAACAAACATGTTATGTGATGATGTGGTCATGTGATGTCATCAATGTGTTGTCATCAATTAACTACATTTTTACTTTACAGAACTGTGATGGGTTCTAACAGGTTCTATCAGGATCTAACAGGTTCTATCAGGCTCTAACAGGTTCTATCAGGCTCTAACAGGGTCTAAGACGATCTAATAGGTTCTAACAGGATCTAACAGGGTCTAAGAAGATCTAACAGGTTCTATCAGGATCTAACAGGGTCTAAGAGGATCTAACAGGTTCTATCAGGATCTAACAGGGTCTAAGAGGATCTAACAGGTTCTATCAGGCTCTAACAGGGTCTGAGAAGATCTAACAGGTTCTATCAGGATCTAACAGGGTCTAAGAGGATCTAACAGGATCTAACAGGGTCTAAGAGGATCTAATAGGTTCTAACAGGATCTAACAGGTTCTAAAAGGATCTATCAGGTTCTAACAGGATCGAATAGCTTCTAACAGGGTCTAAGAGGATCTAATAGGTTCTAAGAGGATCTATCAAGATCTAATAGATTCTAACATGATCTAACAGGGTCTAAGAGGTTCTAATAGGTTCTAACATGATCTAACAAGTTCTAAGAGGATCCAACAGGATCTAATGAGTTCTAATAGGTTCTAACATGATCCAACAGGTTCTAACAGGGTCTAAGAGGATCTAATAGGTTCTAACATGATCTAACAGGTTCTAAGAGGATCCAACAGGATCTAATGGGTTCTAATAGGTTCTAACAGGTTTTAACAGGATCTAACAGGTTCTAACAGTAGCTAACAGGTTCTTACAGGTTCTAACATGATCTTAAAGGTTTTAGCAGGTTCTAACAGGATCAAACAGCTTCTAACAGGATCTAAGAGGATCTAATAGGTTCTAACATGATCTGACAGGATCTAATGGGTTCTTACAGGTTCTAACAGGATTTAACAGGGTTTAACAGGTTCTCACAGGATCTAACAGGCTCTGACAGGGTCTAAGAGGATCTAATAGGTTATAACATGATCTAACAGGTTCTAAAAGGATCTATCAGGTTCTAACAGAGTCTAACAGGTTCTCACAGGTTCTCACAGGATTTTACAGGTTCCAACAGGTTCTAACAGGATCTTGCAGGGTCTAACAGGATCTTACAGGTTCTCGCCAGTTCTAACAAGTTCTCGCAGGTTCTAACAGGTTTTAACAAGTTCTCACAGGTTCTAACAGGTTCTCACAGGATCTTACAGGTTCTAACAGGTTTTAACGGGTTCTAACAGGATCTTACAGGATCTAATAGGTTCGAGCAGGATCTAACAGGGTTTAACAGGATCTAACAGGTTCTCGCAGGTTCTAACAGGTTCTCATGGGATCTTACAGGTTCTAACAGGTGCTAACAAGTTCTAACAGGTTCTAAAGGGTTCTAATAGGGTCTAACAAGATCTTACAGGATCTAACAGGGTCTAACAGGTTCTCACAGGTTCTAACAGGTTCTCACGGGATCTTGCAGGGTCTAACAGGATCTTACAGATTCTCACCAGTTTTAACAAGCTGTCGAAGGTTCTAACAGGTTCTCACAGGATCTTACAGGTTCTAACAGGTTTTAACAAGTTCTCGCAGGTTCTAACAGATTCTCACAGGTTCTAACAGGTTCTCACAGGATCTTACAGGTTCTAACAGGTTCTCACAGGATTTTACAGGTTCCAACAGGTTCTAACAGGATTTTGCAGGGTCTAACAGGATCTTACAGGTTCTCACCGGTTCTAACAAGTTCTAACAGGTTTTAACGGGTTCTCACAGGATCTTACAAGTTCTAACAGGTTCTAACAGGTTTTAACGGGTTCTAACAGGATCTTACAAGTTCTAACAGGTTTTAACAGGATCTTACAGGTTTTAACGGGTTCTAACAGGATCTTACAGGTTTTAACGGGTTCTAACAGGATCTTACAGGTTTTAACGGGAGTCAAAGGGGTTTGGATGAATGAATGAATGAATGAATAAGAAGGTGGCAGGTGCACATTGAAATTCCTCAGAGTAAAGACACAGCAGAGAACATGTCCGAATGACATCATCTGATTCAGAACTCTTCCTCCTCGATAATGTGTTAATGTGCGTTGTTTACATTATTAAAACATCGTCAATATGTGATTAATGAGTTATTAATTAATGATGGTTCAGCAGTGTTGACTTTCTGTTTCTTCTGATTTAACAAATAAACACCTTACTTTTCTGACTGGAGTTGACGTCATCTCTGCTCCTGTGACTCTGTGTCATGTTTGCTGGTATAAAAACAACAACAATAATAAACGTTGTGATTACTGTGATCAGCTGGTGGTTCATTCATAATTATTAATATTGATAATAATGAACATGGTTCCTGTGAGCAGCCTGTACTGAGTTCTCAGCAGTGAGCTTCAGTCTCTGAACTCTACAGTTGTGTTGATGACATCAGAATGACGGCGGTGATTGATGGGCGTGGTTGAGCAGAGAACCGGAAGTAGATACAGACGGTGTGTAATTATTATTATTGATCTGATCAAACTCTGATCAGGTAGGAATATTAATTACTAAGGATCAACAGAGGAGAAGTGCTTTGAATTTTAACTCTATTATACAAAAAAACTCAAAGAAAACTAAACCAATGGCTCTTGCGGGACCTCTCCCTAAGAGGCAGAATATTAATTACTAAAGCAGAGGGAATCTCCCGATTGACATATGCAGCTTTGGCTCTTCATCTTGACAATAAATTATTAAAAGAGACTGACAAAATGCTTTTCGATTTCGTATGGAAAAATAGGACACATCATTTGAGGAAAACAGTTCTTATGAATTCATATGAAAATGGTGGACTTAATTTTTTAGATTTCTCTACATTAAATAATACATTTAAAATAAATTGGCTGAAACAGTTTTTCAGAAATCCTATGTCCATTTGGTATACTATACCGCTCCATATATTGACTAAGCTGGGTGGCTTAAACTTTTTCCTTGTTTTTAACTATAATATTGATAAAATCCCTGTTAAAATCTCTGCCTTTCATCGCCAGGCTTTTTTATCATAGTGTCTCATCTACAAACATAATTTTTCACCTCATAACTACTTTATGTGAAATAACAAGGACATCTTATTCAAACACAAATCTCTTTTTTTTGGAATATTGGTTTCACAATAATATTGTATTGGTAAATCAGTTATTCAATAGGGATGGTCTTCTTTTTACTTATGAAGAGTTTATGTCAGAATATAATATCCCTGTAACACATTATGCCACAGTCTTTGGTGCAATTCCCTCTGGAATCTGTATGCTGTTTAAATCTCAACCAAGGATTAATGCTCAACAGATGCCCTTGTTATCTCCAGCAGACACTCTCGTAGGCAAACTTTGTTTTTCTGGTTATTCTCGTAACAACAACAGTTCCATAAGAGCTCTGTTCCAAAAAGATATTACTACATTACCACATGTGATTTCATATTGGAATCAATTTGTGGATGATATTACATGGAGGAAAGCCTGGCTTTTACCTAATCGATACTTAGTTACAAATAAAGTTAAGGAAATCTCTTTTAAACTCATTCACAAATTCGATCCAGCTAAAAACTATATCAAAAAAAGATTTAAAAAGGAAATTGATGTGAGTTGTAGTTTCTGTGATAATATCCCGAGACTGTTGTTCATTTATTTTGGTATTGCCCTGTTGTTAAAAGATTCTGGCAGAGCTTATGTGATTTTGTTTGTGATAATATTGATGCTGATTTTGTTTTGCTTTGGAGGAATGTAGTGTTTGGTCTCTTAAAAAATGATAATGCACAGAAAAAAACACACATACATGATTAATTATATTATTATAAGGGCCAAATTTCATATTCATCGATGTAAGTTCACAAATAGAAAACCTTACTTTGTTGCTTTCCATAAAGAGATCAAACAATACATTCATTCAATCCAGTACTCTCAAAAACTAAAAGCAATTAGAACTGTGACTGCTTGCACTATGTTAAATATATTTTTGTAGCTCTCTTTATACTGTGTACCCCCTAGCAGTGTTCTGTAACGTTAATGAAAAAGTACTTTTTTTCATTGTACTGAATATTATTCTTACTATGTACTTTTTACCTGTGTTTTATAAATAAAGTTTATTATAAAAAAAACTGATAAGATTTTTAATCAGTAAATAAAGTTTAATAAAAATGTCTGGTTCTTCACTGAATGATCTCCATCATCATCATCCGTGTCACGGGGCAGTGGTGCAGCAGGTTACCATGGCAACAGCAGCCTCCGCTCCCGGCATGCAACAGCAGCCGAGCGCCGCCCTCAGAGAGCGGCAGCAGGGTGGAGCAGCAGACAGACGGACGGACGGACAGCATCCAGGAGGTAAGATACGGAGACATCCCTCACCTGTCTGTCTGTCTGTCTGTCCCCCACCTGTCTGTCTCTCTCTGTCTTTGTCCTCTCTGCTTCACGTGTCTCTGCCGCTCCGCTCACTGAAGGCGGAGAGGCGGCAGACGCGTCAGCGGTATTTACCGCTCCGCATGTTAGCCTGCAGCTGAAGAGGAGCACAGGGAGGAGAACAGGGAGGTGCACCATAGGCCTGCAGATAGAGGAGTAGCAGAGAGGAGACACAGACACATGGTGCACCTCCCTGTTCTCCTCCCTGTGCTCCTCATAGGCCTGCAGATAGAGGAGTGGCAGAGAGGAGACACAGACACATGGTGCACCTCCCTGTTCTCCTCCCTGTGCTCCTCATAGGCCTGCAGATAGAGGAGTGGCAGAGAGGAGACACAGACACATGGTGCACCTCCCTGTTCTCCTCCCTGTGCTCCTCATAGGCCTGCAGATAGAGGAGTAGCAGAGAGGAGACACAGACACATGGTGCACCTCCCTGTTCTCCTCCCTGTGCTCCTCATAGGCCTGCAGATAGAGGAGTGGCAGAGAGGAGACACAGACACATGGTGCACCTCCCTGTTCTCCTCCCTGTGCTCCTCATAGGCCTGCAGATAGAGGAGTGGCAGAGAGGAGACACAGACACATGGTGCACCTCCCTGTTCTCCTCCCTGTGCTCCTCATAGGCCTGCAGATAGAGGAGTGGCAGAGAGGAGACACAGACACATGGTGCACCTCCCTGTTCTCCTCCCTGTGCTCCTCATAGGCCTGCAGATAGAGGAGTGGCAGAGAGGAGACACAGACACATGGTGCACCTCCCTGTTCTCCTCCCTGTGCTCCTCATAGGCCTGCAGATAGAGGAGTGGCAGAGAGGAGACACAGACACATGGTGCACCTCCCTGTTCTCCTCCCTGTGCTCCTCATAGGCCTGCAGATAGAGGAGTGGCAGAGAGGAGACACAGACACATGGTGCACCTCCCTGTTCTCCTCCCTGTGCTCCTCATAGGCCTGCAGATAGAGGAGTGGCAGAGAGGAGACACAGACACATGGTGCACCTCCCTGTTCTCCTCCCTGTGCTCCTCATAGGCCTGCAGATAGAGGAGTGGCAGAGAGGAGACACAGACACATGGTGCACCTCCCTGTTCTCCTCCCTGTGCTCCTCATAGGCCTGCAGATAGAGGAGTGGCAGAGAGGAGACACAGACACATGGTGCACCTCCCTGTTCTCCTCTCTGTGCTCCTCATAGGCCTGCAGATAGAGGAGTGGCAGAGAGGAGACACAGACACATGGTGCACCTCCCTGTTCTCCTCCCTGTGCTCCTCATAGGCCTGCAGATAGAGGAGTAGCAGAGAGGAGACACAGACACATGGTGCACCTCCCTGTTCTCCTCTCTGTGCTCTCTGCTACGCCTCTATCTGCAGGCTGAAAGCGGAACAGGGAGGAGGGTGGTCTATGTGTCCCTGCTCCTCTTCGCTGCTCCCTCCTGCCACCCCCTATCCGCTCAAGTGGAGAACAGGAGGAAAGCAGGAGGAGAGCAGGGAGGCACACCATATGTCTCTGCTGCTCCTCTGTCTGCAAGCCAAAGTGGCCTCAGATCAGACACACAGAGGAGGAGGTGACAGGTGGAGAAGGTGAAGAGGAGAGCGGGGAGGTGCTTGGGTGTCAGGGTGGATGATTGACATGTGGAGGAGGTGACAGTTGAGTTGAATAGAAACTGAATTTATTGTGTTTGTTGCTGCAACATTATCATCATCATCATCATTATCATAATGGAGGAGTGACTGTTACTAAGCATGCTGACTGACTCCTCTTCACCTCCTCTTCTCGTCTGTAGGAGTGATGATGGATGGAGACTCTGCCCCCCTGGGAGACGGCCCTGCCTCTGAGGAGCAGTGCATGATGGGAGGTTAGTGTCATTGTTCATTCATTAACATCCTGCTGCTGCTACAGATAGCCTCAGTCTGTGGTGATGTGTAGCTGCAGATAGCCTCAGTCTATGGTGATGTGTAGCTGCAGTTAGCCTCAGTCTGTGGCGATGTGTAGCTGCAGTTAGCCTCAGTCTGTGGCGATGTGTAGCTGCAGTTAGCCTCAGTCTGTGGCGATGTGTAGCTGCAGATAGCCTCAGTCTATGGTGATGTGTAGCTGCAGTTAGCCTCAGTCTGTGGCGATGTGTAGCTGCAGTTAGCCTCAGTCTGTGGCGATGTGTAGCTGCAGTTAGCCTCAGTCTGTGGCGATGTGTAGCTGCAGATAGCCTCAGTCTATGGTGATGTGTAGCTGCAGTTAGCCTCAGTCTGTGGCGATGTGTAGCTGCAGTTAGCCTCAGTCTGTGGCGATGTGTAGCTGCAGTTAGCCTCAGTCTGTGGCGATGTGTAGCTGCAGATAGCCTCAGTCTGTGGCGATGTGTAGCTGCAGATAGCCTCAGTCTGTGGCGATGTGTAGCTGCAGATAGCCTCAGTCTGTGGCGATGTGTAGCTGCAGATAGCCTCAGTCTGTGGCGATGTGTAGCTGCAGATAGCCTCAGTCTGTGGCGATGTGTAGCTGCAGATAGCCTCAGTCTGTGGCGATGTGTAGCTGCAGATAGCCTCAGTCTGTGGCGATGTGTAGCTGCAGATAGCCTCAGTCTGTGGCGATGTGTAGCTGCAGATAGCCTCAGTCTGTGGCGATGTGTAGCTGCAGATAGCCTCAGTCTGTGGCGATGTGTAGCTGCAGATAGCCTCAGTCTGTGGCGATGTGTAGCTGCAGATAGCCTCAGTCTGTGGCGATGTGTAGCTGCAGATAGCCTCAGTCTGTGGCGATGTGTAGCTGCAGATAGCCTCAGTCTGTGGCGATGTGTAGCTGCAGATAGCCTCAGTCTGTGGCGATGTGTAGCTGCAGATAGCCTCAGTCTGTGGCGATGTGTAGCTGCAGATAGCCTCAGTCTGTGGCGATGTGTAGCTGCAGATAGCCTCAGTCTGTGGCGATGTGTAGCTGCAGATAGCCTCAGTCTGTGGCGATGTGTAGCTGCAGATAGCCTCAGTCTGTGGCGATGTGTAGCTGCAGATAGCCTCAGTCTGTGGCGATGTGTAGCTGCAGATAGCCTCAGTCTGTGGCGATGTGTAGCTGCAGATAGCCTCAGTCTGTGGCGATGTGTAGCTGCAGATAGCCTCAGTCTGTGGTTATGTGTAGCTGCAGATAGCCTCAGTCTGTGGTTATGTGTAGCTGCAGATAGCCTCAGTCTGTGGCGATGTGTAGCTGCAGATAGCCTCAGTCTGTGGCGATGTGTAGCTGCAGTTAGCCTCAGTCTGTGGTTATGTGTAGCTGCAGTTAGCCTCAGTCTGTGGTGATGTGTAGCTGCAGATAGCCTCAGTCTGTGGTTATGTGTAGCTGCAGATAGCCTCAGTCTGTGGTGATGTGTAGCTGCAGTTGGCCTCAGTCTGTGGTGATGTGTAGCTGCTCTTGTGTTATGTCTTCTTCTTGTGTTGAAACAGATGCAGCAGCTGTGAAGGAAGCAGCAGAGGAAGTGGTGAAGGTAAAACCAACATGAAGCAGCTATAAACCTTGACATGACATCATAAAAAACATGTTGCATGTATGTTGATATAAAGTTGGAGTACATGTTGTCGTGAGTTCTGGAGTAAAAGGTTTAAAGTTCTGTTCAGAGCGCTCCGTGTCTCTTTGTCGCTGGTTCTGGTCGTCTTCACTTCGGCCTGGTGGACTGGTTCCCTGGTGGTTTTCTTGTGGGTCGGCATCTTTCAGGCTCAGAGTGCGTCCCTCACACGAGGGTGTGTTCCTGCTGTTGGTGTTTCACTTCCTGTGTCCTTCCTGTCTCACCTGCTGAAGCAGCGCAGGTTTACATTTGGTTTCTCCTCCCACACTTTGTCTTCTCTTGATGAATTCCCCGGCCTCGCTGTGATGTCACTTTGGCTCGTCTGCAGCTGCGTTTCCTGAGGATCTTGAGCTCATCAGTCGTCGCTGTTCCAGTCTATTCTGTGTCCTGATTGGTCCATCTTCTGTCCTGCCTCTCCGTGTACCGCTGGTCTTCTTCGTATTGTGCTGGTAGTCTCAGAGGGTATCCATGTGGTGGAGCGGTCACTCATGGAGCCGTCCACACCTGGTACAGTCCTCCCTGACTGACTATCCTAACCTTCTTCCTGTCACAACTCCACAGATGTTTAACCCCTTGAATCCTAGAACATCTGTGAGAGGTGGAGCAGCAGTAGAGACGTCTTCCTGCAGCTGGCTGTAGGATCCTTGGTTCCCCTCTTTGGGTCTGTTCTTCTGAGCCACAGACAGAAGCTCCCGTCCTCTGTCTCCTTGTCCAGTTCCCAGAATGCCTTGTTTGCCTCCTCATGGTGGGGAATGGCCTCCACCCTGCCTCAGTGCAGCAGCAGTAACCTTACTGTACTGTTTCCTCTCACAGGCCTCCATCCAGCAATAGCAACTCTAGTGTAACACTGAGGCTTAAGATAGCGGTGATCAGTAACACAATGTCTCTGAAATTGCTTTATCTTTGTGAATAAAATAATTCTCACCACAATGTACTTGTTTGTAAGTACAGCTGAATGTCTACTGCTGCAGCAGACGAGTGGTGAATGTAAAGTCTTTTGGGTAGTCTAAAAAAGGAATCAAAGATTTTTGGTGTGAACCAAAAATGTACACTGATATTAATATTGCATAATATGCATCAATCAATCAATCAATCAATTTTATTTATAAAGCCCAATATCACAAATCACAATTTGCCTCACAGGGCTTTACAGCATACGACATCCCTCTGTCCTTATGACCCTCACAGCTGATCAGGAAAAACTCCCCAAAAAACCCTTTAACGGGGAAAAAAAACGGTAGAAACCTCAGGAAGAGCAACTGAGGAGGGATCCCTCTTCCAGGACGGACAGACGTGCAATAGATGT